GGTTGGATTGGCCTGTGCAAACCTACTATTTTGTTGACCTGGCTTTATGTATTGCCATTGTTGAATAAAAGTAATTTCAATGCATTGATTGGTATGACATTTTCTTAACTTTGCAGACCTAGGAATGCACTTCTCAATGATTGGTTGTTTTGTTAATATATAATTTGTTTTACAGCATATGGTGAACTATGTATCCAAGTGAAAGCCTGTTTTTTCTGTTTTTCTATAGTTCAAGTTTACAGTTTATCTCAGCTAACATATTATTGTTTTCTCCTTGCTCTAATGCTGAACAGTACATGAATGCGTTTGATCAAGCAATGAATGCGCTCGATGAGAGATTTTCCTTCCTTTCGTCATCAAAGCAGATTGTAAGCGACATGAATGATGAGAAAAAGGTAAGGACTTGAGAATACTTAGTATGACAGTGTTACGACATTTGTTTCTTTCTTAGGAAGAGTAGTAACTCTAGCTTGTGTGCTGTATTTTGCCGATTAAGGTGAGCTTCAATTTAGGAATGCACGGTTTCTGAAACCCTAGCCATTTGATTCAAATAGTTTGGTTTGTGAAAACATTATTTCCAATTTATTTCTACTTTGTTTCAGGTTATTGTCTTTGAACGTGGAGATTTGGTTTTTGTTTTCAATTTTCATCCCAAGAAAACTTATGAGGGGTAAGTTTTGTAATCTCTGTCTTTTCAAAGTCCCTTTTGCCTGTGGTCTAGTGTGCTTACTCTCATCTCTACTTTGCAAATAATATGCAGTTACAAAGTTGGATGCGATTTGCCTGGGAAATACAGAATAGCCCTGGACTCTGATGCTTTGGTCTTTGGTGGACATGGAAGAGTAAGTAGTGATGATATATGCTGGAAAGATGTTTTTTTCCTACTCCTGTAGTTGGGGCCATGAGAATTGTATCAGGATGTCGTGTTTGCAAGATTCATCGATGTTGTGACACAGGTTGGCCACGACGTGGATCACTTCACGTCGCCTGAAGGGATACCAGGGGTGCCTGAAACAAACTTCAACAACCGCCAAACTCATTCAAAGTCTTTTCTCCACCCCGCACTTGACTTGTGTGGTAATGTTCACTTATCAGCTACTTCTCAACTGAACTGATGAACTAGAATCTATCAGTCGCAGTGCAATATCAGCCCCCTGACAAATCATTCTGCTACCAGGCTTATTCCCGTGTAGATGAAGAGGATGAACGTCTTCAAGCGAAATCAGAGACAACTGGTTCTAGAAAGACTTCTCCAGAGATCATCGATGTTGATGCTACCCCGCCAAAACTTCTACCGCTACTAAAGAAGACAAGGAGGCAACATCTGGTGGCAAGAAGGACGATTCAAACAACGCGCCAGTCATCGTCCAATAAAAATACCAAATGAAAGCCAGAAGCCCTTGATCAGGACTGGACTGGCTGCCAGCACCCTCTTAATAGTCCTGCTCTACTGGACTAGCTGCTGGTGCCCTTGTAACGGTCCTTTCCTGGCTCATAGGTGACTGGTGTCATTACCGAGCAAGCACTGCTTGTATAGTTTTCTAGATAGAGAAGAATAATCAGGGATGGATGTATGGACAGAGGAGCCATGGCCTGGGTTCACCTGGATTTTGACTATCTATTGGGTACATGAGTATGTAAAGGATCAGTTCCTGTCCAGAATAAAAACTTGGGTTTTCTTGTACCTTTGTACTTCCTAGGTTGGTGAAGATGTTTAATATTAGATGCCAATGCGCAGATATAGAACATATACTGTCAGTCTGCAGTACTAAAACTGAAGACGAAGTTAGGAAGCTTCTTCATTCCTTGTTCCCTGTCTAGTTCACATTTGATTTCAGCTGTTCAGCAGGTCAGGTCAGGTCAGGTCAGGTCAGCTCCACCGAGGGTCAGGCCGGCGTCACGCAGGCATCTTTTCATGTGTCATAATACTATATTTTTGATCTTTCAACAAAAAGATGGAGCACTAACGACCTCTTCTTCCAGGTCTTCCAACTCAAGAAGTGTCATGGGCACCGCTGGCTGCAGAGCACTGAGGCGACTGACCCACCAACAGCAGCTTTTTTTGTTCTCTCTCCAGCACAGAACAAGAAGAGTGACAGGCTACTAGTAAGCATCATCTATCTATCTCTCAAGAGTAAAAGACTTTATCTCTCAAGAGTAAAAGACTTGGACCGCTTCAAAGAGGCCTCAGATCGATCAGATCTTGTGACCTTTGTGTGTGGCTGAATGTCACTGGAAGGAATGCATGCAATGCAACCATGGACTTGACTCCCCGGCAAGAGGCAACATCCATCGACCAGCAAGGACTTGTGCATCCATGGAAGAACCGGTCCAAGTGACAGGGACGGATGGATGGGATGGCCCCAGCTCCGTTCCATTTCCAGGTCTTGCTTTCTTGATTCATATGGTACAGCTAGCTCACCCTTTGTCTCCAGTCTCCTAGCACCATACAAGTCCACGCTTGTCACACTCAGAAGCACTAGTAGGTTGCTTCATAGGAAGGCACATATTAAACTAAAGGTGAAAATTAAAGACAAGGTTATTGCTCTGATTTGGACATGTCTACTAGTGGTGTAGTACTTGCGTAACCCAAGCAGGTGCAGGTCCACAGTTGCATGCTAATGGTAAGGTGCCTGAAAACTGCAACCACTTTAGCCAACCGTTAGTCTCTTTTGTGCAGCAGCAGCCGCCGTCGCCGCCTGATAAATTCTCTTAAGTGCAATGATTTCCTGTTAGAAAGTAACTAATTCTTTGGAGTTTCGTCAAAAGGGAGAATCATTTCAGGACTTGGAACGATTCAACACGCGGTTTTCTTTTCAGAGGGACGACAAAACAAAGGCTTGGAGGTATGCCAAGAGAGCAGCATCACCATGCAATGGTAATGCAGTAGTGTCGTCCTGAGCTTGGGATTTCTTGTGAAAGTCTTGGCCACGCAAGGAATTCAACTGTCAGCGCGTCAAAACACTCCATCCGTCCGTCTGTCTTGTGGAAAACTGATGGTTTTTCTTTGTTTGTATTTTCCTTAGGGACGCACCAGGTGTCGGAGGCTCCCACATGGGGTGGGGTCTCATGAAAAAGCGAGGCAAGCTTTCCCCGTAAAATCTACGGAGAGGCTGCTTCGAACCCGCGACGTGGTGACTCAGTCTCCGGCTTCTAGGAATTATGTATTTACAAATAAACTGTTTTGTAGGTTTTACCACTTCAATTCAACACGTACGTCTTGTGTCAAAGCAAATAAGGCCATCGATATCGAAATGAACTGTACATGTAAAGCTGTGGCTATGCGGAGTGAGGGGTACCTTCTATAGAACAGGCAACTTTTTGAAGCAATACCGTTACCATACTTGTTCCATGATCCAGACATTTTTTGGTAGTTCAAAATATGACCCGGTCAGGAAAAAAAATTAAACATGGTTAGTGGGGCACACCTAAAATACTTATAACACAATAATGTGTTCATTAGCAACAGGAAGGAGCCTATTGACAGCGAGACGTCTAAGTTGACTTTGTTAATCTTAAGATTTATTGTGCGAGTGTGTGCACATACGTATGAGCATCTGTGTTTGTATTGTGTTTTAAAACAAAGACAATCATGTTTTTTCAAGAAAAGTGTGCAGGTGCAGCAAGTGATATAAAGGTTTATCAGTGCTAAAAAAAGCATTAGACATTGGAATTAACATATATATGGCATAGTCAAGGTCAAGAATGATGGTATACAGTAGTTAAGGCAGTCAGAGATTATTCTCTCCGTATCCTTTGAGAAAGCTACGGGTGCCCAATCTGATCAGAACTGCATGCACATAAATTAAGAAAAGCTACTTATCTACTAATTGCAGTGCAGTGCAGACGCGTACTCTGAATAATTTAGTTAGTGTGCACCAATGGACCAAGTCGTCGTCTCGGACCACTTTGCAGGCTTGCAACCACTCTCTTCTTTATCTGCAGGATCGTCGGAGGTCCCATCTTTTTTTTTTACATGTGCACCACTCCAGTTCACCAGTTGTGTGTTGGTAGCACCAATCAGTTGTACTTATTTTGAACGAATTAAATATCATACGACTGTTTTTTCAGAATGGAAGAATTAAATTTTCTGTTGATACACCACACAGTGTGCTCTCCAAACTTGACATTTTCTTTTAAATAAACTAAAATATGACATGATCAATTATTTATTATAGCAACTTTGAGCATCCGTGTTTAAATGTTTATTTACACAAAGTTTTTAGAAAAAAATATTTTCCGTTTGCTAAATAAATACTTCCTCCGTCTCCAAATAAATCAATTCACAGAATCCGTGCAAGTCAAATTATCTTAAGTTTGATTAACTTTATAGGAAAGAGTAACAAAATGTATGACATAAAATGAGCACACTATGAAAATATATTCTATGGTATATCTCTAATTGTACTAATTTGATGTCATAAATCTTAATGGTTTTTTTCTAGAAATTCAGTCAAAACTTTAAAAGTTTGGCTTAAGACAATACTAGAAATCTATTTATTCAGGACAGAGAGAGTAATAAATACTCCAGCATGGATCATTATATTTTCCTTTTGCTGGAGAGATTAAATGATTCATCGTGCATGGCCAACACAACTCTGAAACCAGTACTGATATATAGTACTGGTCTACATCCTCGTCAATTGGTTACAGGATATATAAATAAATTAATCAGTCTTTCCCAGATTATAATATTGTCATTATATTAGATACTGACAGTACCACAAAGCTAATTAATCAGCTCCCAAAGCAAGTACTGCATATATCTGTAAAATAATCAGCACTAAGCCAGCAATGAAGAATTCCAAGCAAAGCAAGTCTTAATTTCCACACACAGACACGACACTGCCTTTAGCATTAGGGCAGTAATCAGTAATAAAAGTCAGCTAGTATGACGCAGGAGAAGACTCGCTGGGAAACAGACGAGAGCGCATCACCCGCACACACTTTCCTCCCATCTCACTCTCGCGCAGTCTCGCTCGCCTTGACGGCATCGTGTCATGTCTCCTCGCCAGTCTCCTCCCCGCCGGCCGGCCTATATATGCAGAGGGAACCCGCCTCTTTCCTCTCATGCATCCGGCTCTCGATCAGCAGCTCATTTCCACCATCGATCCATCAAGCAGCCAGAGCAAAACCAACAAAGCCAATCCATCATGGCGGAGCAGCTGCGGCGTGGCGCATCACCACCGTCATCCGGCGCGGCGGAGCTGGAGCTGCCGGGGTTCCGGTTCCACCCGACGGAGGAGGAGCTGCTGGAGTTCTACCTGAAGCAGGTGGCGCAAGGGCGGAAGCTCAAGTTCGACATCATCCCCACGGTGCACCTGTACCGGCACGACCCCTGGGACCTCCCGGGCCTGGCGCGCATCGGCGAACGGGAGTGGTACTTCTTCGTGCCCCGCGACGGTGGCGGCAGCCGGGCGGCCAAGCAGCACCAGTCCGGCGGCGGCGGCCGGCCCAGCCGCACCACGGAGCGCGGGTTCTGGAAGGCCACGGGGTCGGACCGCTCCGTACGGTGCGCCGACGACCCCAAGCGCCTCATCGGGCTCAAGAAGACGCTCGTCTACTACGAGGGCCGCGCGCCGCGTGGCACCAAGACCGACTGGGTCATGAACGAGTACCGCCTCCCCGACGCCACCACCTGCTGCAATGCCGCCGGCGACTCATCGGCGGCCTCCTCCACCAACAAGTCGCCCAAGGTATACATATACATCATCCTACATCGTAACTAGCTAGTAGTATCTAGTACATGCATGCATGGCGTTATTAATCCATCTTTATTAGCATACGCGCTGGTGCTAATAGTTAGCTAGCTAATAGCTAAATCTACTAAGTAATCCAACTGATAATCACAAAAAAAAACTAATCCAACCGATAATAGGTGGTTGGAGGTATAGAAGAACTGTTAGTATCTATTAGCACCTCTCTACCAATTGAGGAACTAATAATTGTTAGCATCTCCACCTGCTAGTAGTTTGAGGTCTGTATTAGCAGCCCTACTTGGATCTTCAACGGTTAAGTTTAGTTGTTAACTATTAGCACGCCACTAATAATCCAAAAAGGGCCTTTAGTTAGTTTTGTTTGCATTTTCGTTAATTCATTCTTCTACAATAGAAGTAATCCCAGATGTATCTTGGTCAGGTTTATATATATATATATATATATATATATATATATATATATATATATATATATATATATATATATATATATATATATATATATATATATATATATATATATATATGCGGAGGGTGTGAAATGGTTGACCTTGACTCCGAGGTAGTAGTAGTCAGTAGTCACGCGCGTGCTTTGAAAAGTAGCTAGGACACCTAGCTAGCTAGCTAGAGATATTTACTTTGTCAGGTGCAGCATGAAAGCAACGTTTTTATATATATGTTAATTAATTATATATTTCAGTCCATAAGCTAGCCAGTATAGTGCAAGTCCTAATCATCATTTTTATGTAACGCGTGCAGGAGGACATCGTGCTGTGCAAGATCTACCGGAAAGCTGTGTCGCTCAAGGAGCTGGAGCAGCGGGTGGCCATGGAGGAGCTGGCGCGCGCCACCGCCACGCCGTCCGCGTCCGCGTCCCACAACACCGGCTCGCCCGCCGACTCCATGTCGTCGTCGGACCACGAGGCGGCGGCGGCGGCCCATCCCCGGAAGCAGCAGGGAGGGGACATCATGATGATGCCTGTGGGCATCTCACCACCACCTGGGGTGATGAGCATGAAGAAAGAGGAGGTGGCCGAGCCGCTGCCGACGGCGACGACGGTGCTGATGAGGCCGGCGACGCTGAGCCTGCCGCAGCTGGAGGTGGCGAAGCAGCAGCCGGCGCAGCAGGAGTGGATGCAGGACCCATTCCTGACGCAGTTGCGGAGCCCATGGATGGAGAGCTGGTCGCCCTACTACGCCAGCGTCCTCAACTTTTAACCAATCCATATATATATATATCTTGGATTCTCAATCAAATAGCTATATATATAGTCGTTGTTACAGAAACCTAGCTATATAGTAATAGTATATAGTTTTAATTTACAGCATATATACGCATGTTGTATGTATGTAGTCGCGTAGAGATGGCTAGCTAGCGAGATACATTCATACAGAGGCACAGAGCTAGCATGAGTATCTTGGATGGCATCATATATATATATATATATATATATATATATATATATATATATATATATATATATATATATATATATATATATATATATATATATATATATACACGGAAAAAGTCTACTTAACCCCCCACCTTTCATACTCGGTCTACTTCACCCCAAACTATGAAACCGTCTGTTTTACCCCCTGAACTTTTTAAAACGTCTATTTTACCCTCCCGGGCGGTTTTTGACAGCGGATTTGCTACAGTAACAGCGAGTTTGTTACAGTAACGGTTTTTGAAAAATCATAGTAAATCATAGAAAAATCATAAAATAAAAAATCTAATTTTATTAGACTCCACATGAGTAGATCTACACAGTGAATATATAATACGGTATGCTTTAGTACAAAATTTCTACTGTAGCCTTAGATTAATTGGAAAATCTAAATTTGTCTGTAATTAATTGGATATATACTGTAGCCTGAGAGTAATGGGAAAAATCTAATTTAACTGTAGCAAACCCGCTGTTACTGTAGCAAACCCGCTGTCGAAAACAGCCGGGAGGGTAAAATAGACGGTTTTGGAAAATTCATGGGGTAAAACAGACGGTTTCATAGTTGGGGGTGAAGTAGACCAAGTATGAAATGTGGGGGGTTAAGTAGACTTTTTCCTATATACTGAGGAGCTAGTACACATACATGGTATGTATATGCAACAAAGTACATTAACAGCTAAGTTGCGCTGTCATCCATGCCATTAAGATTAAGTTAGCGTGAGTGGTGCCATGGTTGCTCCAGCTTGAGAGGTCGTGGGTATTTGCTTTGTACAGTAGCAAGGTTTTCGTGCAATACAAGAGAGAACTCGGCCCTTTGAACATGCAGTCCATCATTTTAATTTTTTTCTTTTCTTTTCTTTTGGATGGTCAAAGGGGGCAGAGCATCTTCCCACCTGAATTGTATTGTTATAGCATGGCAAACCACAGATCAACCACCTTGTTTAGGAAAATAAGACAAAACCCTATATTGTCTGGTTAATTTTGAAAAAGCGATCTAATACCACAACACTACCTAGCTGAACTGGGCCTCACAGGTAACCGGTAGTCCCAGCACAAGGGTACCAGAGGGAACGAGGCCTGCAGCATTTTGGTTGGAAGCTCGATTGGGAAGACAGTGGGAGTGGTCTGGGAGAAAGCCGCATGGAGACCCACTTGCATGTGGAGAAGGCCCGTGGACGATTCACTTGGAGTTAACAGATCATGAGCTTGGGCTTTGCGAGGGCATCCTTGCTAGGGGCTCCAACAAGAACTATGAGGAAGTGTGAGCTTCTCGATACCTCGGGAAAAATCACCGTGGGAATTTACATATCTAACATATTTACGCTTCCACATTTACTTGCTTTCCTAGGTTGTGTTTTACCGTTTCCGGTCTATCTTGCTAGGTTAGTTGAATATGTTTGGACCGACCTAGGTTCCATGACTTTTTTGTGTTATCGACAACAACACTTAACAAAACCATAGTGCACATATCTAGATAAAATCTCACGGTCCCTTCAATTGGCATCACCTAGATGGGTTGGTAATGATTGGTGCTTGGTGACCTCTCCGTGAAGATTATGAGAGGCCCAAGTTGGTGTACATAGTTTCAATGGTCCATCATTCCGTCTTGGAGAATGATCAACCACTAGAGAGCACTTGGTCCTTGCACGGATTAAGGGGGGCTATACCTTGTGAGGTGCTCCAACAAGGACTAGTGAAGAGTGCCAACTCTCTCGATACCTCATGAAATATCGTTGTGTCCCTTGTGCTCCCTCTTTACATTATGCATATAATTTCTTGCAATTTATATTCCTAGAATTATCATGCTAGTGTAGGGTTAGAACTTATAGGTGCAAAACTTTTGTGCTATAGGCACAAAACAACAACACGTATGGGTGAATTTAGATAAGCATAGATTTCATTTTTGAAACATTTAGATTAGCTTAATTCACTCCATCCTACTAGGCATCTTGATTCTTTCAATCGGCAAACCCCTAATTAAATGGACTTTGTGCGGTGTGGTTGCACGTGGACTCTAAGGTGGGGGAGAGGAGACAAGTTTCAAGGCGGGTGGATGAAGAGCGACCTTGGAGTCAGTAGCCGAGTGGCTAGGTAGGAGGTAGCGCCTCTTTTTGTGGGGTGAGCGGTCGGTGGTGGTGCAAAGGCATGCATCCCGAGGGGTGGCAAAGTGCAATCATGTGTGAGGTTGTGACGGTGGCGTGGTTTTTGCTACAATCAAGGTTGATTGCACCTCCCTGCAGTTAGTTTCACGATCCATTTCGTCACTACTATAGAAAATCTTTTGCACTACGTTTCACTTTGGGGCTCCGAGGCGGTTGGCCTGGTTGCCCACCTCGGTTATTCAAGGCAGGGAAGCTGGGCCAACAACCGTCTCGGTAAATCATTAACCGAGGCAGGAAACCTAACATGCCCACCTCGGTTAATATATATTAACCGAGGCGAGCATTCTAACTCAACCGCCTCGATAAAACAATAACCGAGGCGGGCATTCTAACTCAATTGCCTCAGTAAATCAGGCCCAACCCGCTAGCCCACACCAGCCCACTACCATCTCCCATATATAAACGCAGGGGTTAGGGTTTCACTCTCCCAACCATTCCTCCCAGCGCTCTCCCTCACGGCGCCCGCTCTCCCTCGTGGCACTCGCACCCGCAAGCGACGCCGCGCCCTTCCCCCTCCCCATCTCGATGACGCGCTGTGGCAGAACCGCTGGAAATAACACACTTTTGGAGGCGTTCGTCTTCCACTAAACACTAAACACCCCAAAAGTGAGCTACATTGGACAGTTCCGTTGAGCACACCCTACGGAGAACTCAAAATAATCTATGTTTTACCTCCAGAATCCAATAATGAGTACGAGTTTATAATACTTAGTCCATTTCATACAACAAGGGTTCTTGAAAATTATTTATTACAATACTAGAGTTCAGAATGCGATAATTAAATAACGGAAAGAAAATAAACATCTAGCGCAAATGATACAAGAATTCGTCTGTGCCCACTAGAAGAATCCTCCACACAAGAGCTACTCCTTAAACTACACCTTCAACAGGGATAAATAAACCTTGAGTACACAATGTACTCGCAAGACTTACCCGACTAGTGGGAATAGTTTTTCGACTCCAAGGGGTATGATAGGCAATATGGGTTTGCTGTTTTCTTTTTGTTTGCGAAAAGCATTACTAGAAGTACGTCCTTAAGATCAAGTTTAATTAGCAGTCATGAATACTTCATTAACTAACCATTCTAGGTAAGCACCTGTACTACCTTCAAGCAAGGGTTGAGCAATCAGAACCAATTTACCATCTTTTATATTCTAGTTCTTACTACAGTGCTAGACCATAGCCAAGTCGTACCGTCTCATGAAACGGCGATTCATGAACCAATGTATCCCAGCTGGGTACCCCAAAACACACGCCATGTTTGTACCCCAGGCACAAACAAGACCAACCCATTCTACTCCTATCACGGGCTCTAGGTCCTTGTCCAAACTTAGACTCTAAGCCCCACACTTGAGACCCGATTTCAATATGGTGCTTAGACCTCCACCTTTCTCTGCCTCCAATCAGTTGCTCCGGAAAGAGCCAGAACCCATAACAAGAGCGTAACGAGCCTTCCTGCTCCAATAAGCAAGTATGTGCTCAGGATAATAAGTCTGTGACCCAACTACCATCCACAGCAATGGATGGTCCTCAATCGACACGGACAGGGAAAACAGTGTAACCAAGCTAAGCCCCGTGGCCACAGGACACAACTCGTCACACCCACCACAACCCATACCATATCCCTGCCCGGTCTCCATTTTTATTTCATCATTTTTATCATGAGAGTAATTATAATAATCACCTATTATGAGTAACGGTAGGTTACTCACGCTACTGAAAAACTAAGCATACCAGCTACTCGAACCTGCACTAGTAAGACTCATAGGACGGATATATCTATGCATGTGGTTTCTATAAAACTCCTGTAACGTAAATGCACATCACATATATATACGGTGATTATAAAAAATAAGGGTTATGCACCAGGGCTTGCCTTGGGCAGGCGCGGTGTCAGCTGAATCAGTCGTCGGTGGCTTCAAGACCTTCTCCTGCATGAGAATTTCCTCCTCGTACTCCTCGACGATCTCCTCGAACTCGCAATCGTCTATGGTCTCTATCTCCACCAACTCGTTCTCTACATGCATGCGATGATGATGCAACACTTAGCATTTAGGCAACAACAACTCTTAAAATAAGAATACGCATACTAAGCTACAAAGCTAGCTCTAATGACTAAGATACTAAGCTAACTAACATCTTCCTCAAACAAAGTATTGGGTTCAACTAACATACCCTTAGCTTGGCAATTTAAGGATATATCTTTATTTCTACTAGTGATTTAATGTATATTGAAACAAAGAGCATTTAATTACCCTAATGCTTAGTCTATTCTAAGGCTACAAAAATTATAGTGAACACATAATAATACAATGAAACTGCTGTAAAAATTTTAGGATCAAAACTATCACCAATTACCACAAAAATTCCTACAATGATTAACTTAATAATATTAAGCACTTTCAAACAATTTAATAGCCCTTAGTATCAACATAGATATGCATGATATATCTATACTACCAGATAGATCATAATTTTAGGAACGTAACAAAATTAGTTTCATGATTTTTGGACACCTATACGATTTTATATTAATTAAACAAAACTGGCTCACAATTAAAAATAAAAACTATTTCTAATTCTTTACAAAAAAAGAGGAAGC